AAAAAAAAAACTATACGGGCAATGCCGTTTGAGAAGAGTACCGCCACCTTGATGCTGTACATTTGATGTCATTGACATATTGACATAAAAAACACTCACATATCATTTAAGTCAAAAATTCAATATCATATAGAAGCCATTTTAAGAAGTGGCGTTGGTAAAGAACATTTTGAAATATAAGTTATAAAGCATTCTAAATAAAGTGTGTAAGCCTCTTCTGGTTTCAGTGCATTCAAGCTGACTCGAGCTTCACGGATTCAAACCAATTTGACCCTTACGCATGATGACTGCGAGAAGTTATCCTGCGTAGCCGACGTGTTGAGCGGGCAAGTGCTGTAACAATCACTTGTTGTCGCTTATATTCAGGGTGGGACATGGCTTTGGGAAGTGAGAAGTCTGTTTGTTTTTCAATGCTATATTCAGCGTCTCATGATAGATAATTTTGACCCCACCGGTGAGTCGATCTTGAATTTGTTTCGCAGACAGTTGATCAGTTAATGTTTCCCCCATTCCCCTGATCCAGCTCCGATTTGCTGAGTCAAAGCAAAGATACGCAGAAACTGAGGGGTTATCACCTGGGTTTGTACTTCCTGACCTTTCTGTTCCTAGCCGGACCTTCGAGCAAATTATTTTCCAGGGGTGAAAACTGAATATAAACAGTTCAGTTAGTTCTATAATCTGAAGGAAACTTCACTCTTAATTATGACAACAGAAGAGATGGTGGAACTGAAGGTTTACGGTCATCTCGCCACCTAACAAAATTGCCACCAAGAAGTTCACTCGCCGCCAACCAACTCGCCACCAAGTAAAAACTCTGTAATAATTATCGTGTTTACTCACTAGAAAATCGTAAAAATCCTCGGTTATTACAGACTTATTACTTGGTGGTGAGTTGGTTGGCGAAAAGTCAACTTCTTGGTAGCGACTTCGTTGGTGGCGAGATGACCGGTTACCGAACTGAAACTCCAGGAGGGTGGATCCCCTTGCTCAAGAGACGCAACAGCTAAGCAACAGCAACAGCTATATAACGAACCGCAGAGGAGAGAACTGACTTGTATCGCCAAAACAGTCACATCGAAATGCACCGATGACAGAGGTGATGTTACAAGAGACGATTAGCAACGAGGGCCTACACACTAATGCGTTTTCAAAAGTACGTGTTTTCGTTGTCATCGAAAACGCATCGATCGATTCGCGTCCACACTAAAGTTTTAGTGCGTTTCCGACTGTTGCAACGCACTGTTGTGCCAAAAAATCGTAAATCTTTACAACAATTAGGTTCAATCGACAGTCTGGGCAATTCGTTGCATGGTTGCCACCAAGCCCCTTCAAAAACTGACAAAAATGCAAAGACAACGAGACATTTAGCACATGATTCTAACGAGCATTATTTTTCTTACCAACAACATGGGTCGGGTCGGTTCAAGGCTAGTCTGCTACACAGCCGTTTTTAGTGTCGTCACGCAACGCAGTTAGTGAGGAGGAGCGTTGCGTGACGACTCTAAAAACGGCTGTGTAGCAGACTGGTTCAAAGCTGGGTTAAGATAACCCTAGCCTGCGAACAGCAGACGTATTTCCGGTTATTTTTCGGAGGGAGAGAAGCGACGAGCGGAAATACGTCTGCTGTTCGCAGGCTAAGATAACCCAGGGTTAGTGTGAAATTTGAATTCAGATTTGAAAGCTTAAACAGCAAACTCAAGTAAATTCTTTTTGCCTACACTTTGGTGATTGGATGCTCTAAAAAAAGCTGAGAAACTTATCCGAGAAAATGTTTTTGAACAAAAGAAAAAGAAACACGAACTAAAATTTTACCCCGCGTTAGCGCTAATCGGCCTTCGAACAACGGGACTAGCTGCTGCAACTTATTCTACTCCCAAAGTGACGAATATTCCCGGCCATCGATCCATCTGACAGCCATCTCAACAGCTGGAAACGGCTTTTCAGTGTCCATCTTTGAGTTGCCTTCAAGAGCCATAATGGCTCTTGGTTGCCTTATGGAGAGTAAAGAAAATGCCTGAAGACGGCAGTCCGCGTGTCCGCAGTTAGAGGACCTTAATTATGGGTTTCCGTTATCCGTGAAAAAGCCAAACATTGTAATCTTTGCGCCTAATGGCTAAAACTTTTAGCCGTTAATCGTATTAACAAATAATAATAATAACCGTATTTTCATTCCTAGCGAGTCAACCTCGTTCCCAGGATTCTCTCCTACCCGCCCTACGGAGGGCGGGTAGGAGAGAACCCAGGGAGCGAGGTTGATAGAGAGTGCCAATTTTGCTTTGTATAACTTTAGAAGTCTTGTCTGCCTAGTGGCTTTATATACCATCAGTTTCGGCCCAGCCCTTTTTCTATCCACGAAAGCTCCGGAAATGCTCCTCGGAAGCCTAAACCAACGAAATCGATGGAAACTTTTGAACATTTCTAGCCATAGAAAAGCCTCCACTCCATCGCGGTCACAATGTGAAGTAGTTACTTAGACAGCTGATCTGGTTTACCCAATACATACTTTTAAAACACTTATAAAAACCTTCAAGGAAAAAGTGTACTTGTCAACACTTCGTTTTGACGACAGTTCTTGCGTCACGTCCAATAGGAAATGCGCTCTTGTAGTCTTAGTTTCCTTTTTGTTTTGTTTGCTTGATTGCTTTAAAATAACATTCCTTCCGAATGCGTTTTCACTACGCCCACAATACGAAATAACACTCACTGTACATGTTTGCAGCTGTAAAGAGAACTGAGTTTGTGCTCGATATGACGATCAGTATTAATCATGAAAGCTTTGCAGCTAAAACGGTTAAAACTACTTTGTTTCTTGTTGTTTCTCGTTGTCTATATGGCCCACTGCTTTAAAGGAAGGCGGAATTTTGTTCTGACCTCTTGAAATGGTTTGCCCTCTGGATATATTGCCTCTTAGCGAAGCATAAATTATGTCATGGCAAATTTTCAAACTATGCAAACCATGCCCGGGTTACAGCTTCTCAATGTGGCTTAATGAAGGAGTGTGTGATCATAAAAAGGGCTGAAAGATGAAGCTCCATCTATAATCTCATTAACATGTCTTTCTGAGCGAAAATGATTGTGTTGGCGCGGCAACTGGATATTCATGCTAATTTGGCGCAATTTTTTCCGCTTTGGAGCCAATCTTTTTTGCCGATCTGCCAATCAAGCTTAACGTCACCATGGAGAACAATGCGTTAATTATTATTCAGGGTGAAAAAAACTGTAAAAAAATATTTAGTGCTCTTGAGGGAGCACGAGGTATCGCAGATGATAGTTTTGTGGGGTGAAAAGAGAATCGGATGTTTCCGAAGGAAGTACCGAAATGGATCATAACAGCGCATAAACATGATTGCATATAGCGTTCAACAACACGCGTCTCAGGACAACACAGGCGAGTATTAACCAGGCTTTGTAATATTAATTTTTTCAAATAACATGAAGCTACAGTCGTCGAGAGCCAAGACAAAAACAATTTTTTGTTCAGTTGATCATCTGCCTGTTCCAAGGTGATGATTCGTTTATAATCGTAGACGTCCTTCGTGGATGAGGGTTAAATTATTTCGCCTCTCTGATTTTCTTTACTGTTAAGATCGACGGTTAGGAATGATCTGGCGGAAATTTACAGAAGGGAAATTAGTAAACGTGCAGATGAACTCGATTTGATGTTTATGTTTGGCTTATCTGGTAACGAAATTCGAAGGTTGAAGAGTTAATTAGCCTTAATCTTTCAGCGTAAGAATCACACGATTGTACCAGCACAATTCGAAAAAAAAAGTTAACAAGCGTAAAAGGTAGTTCGTTAGAAGAAACTGTTGTTCATTGTTGTTAATTTCACCGGAAGCAATCAACCTTGAATACTCTCTTTTCGCTTTTAGATGGCTTCTTTTGAATGCCTTTTCTTTACGCCTGTGAAATAAACAATATGGTCCTAAAAAATGGCAATATTTTGACCGTTTCTGTTAGCTTTTTAAAAGAATATAAACAGCCAACTTGAACGAAATAAGCTGATTTTACAACCGTATTAACGGTCAAATATACATCGAGTGAGTCTAATTTTATATTGGGGAGAAAGAAAGAGGTCACGCATGTAATTCATATCGGGTGACAAAAATAACAAGGTTCCATTTCTAAATCGTCTTTTCTTCCCCTTTTTTGTTAACAGTAATCTTCAATGCGAACATCGTAGCTGTTATTGCAAGCGTTGTATCGTTGGGAAGCATTGCCGTGTTGTGTGCTTGGTGTTACAAATGCTGGAAGGGCTCAGAAGACGGGACAGACGGCAGCACTGAAAGCGACTACGACTCTTCTTCGGACTCCCAACTGTATGGAATCCCAGGACACAAGTACCGCGCATTTGCAAAATATTCCTCGCTGTCAGACGTCTCTCCACCGGAACAGCGGGTCGATTCACCCGGGTATCAGAAATCGCTGAAATTTTCCCAGCCACCTCCTCAAGAGTTCGACGTGCAGGCCCCACAACCCAATGTTTCTAGTATCGTTATTCCTCCAGAACCACCCCTCCTTGAATCGTCTAACAAAGAAGACCTTGGAAAGATCTACTTTTCAATCAGCTACGATTCAGGAGAAATGGTCCTTACGCTGAAGATTCTCAAAGCCACTGGTCTTCCAGCCAAGGACTTCAGCGGTACAAGTGACCCGTTTGTGAAAATTTTACTTCTTCCAGACAAGAAACACAAAATGGAAACTCGGATTAAGAGAAAAAACCTTCATCCCATATGGAACGAAGTGTTTCGTTTTGAAGGATTTCCGCACAATAAGTTACTGAGTCGAACTTTATATCTACAAGTTTTGGACTACGATCGTTTCTCGCGAAACGATCCTATTGGGGAAATAGAGATCCCGCTAAGTGACATAGACTTGGGGCCTACCACCCTCACATTTTGCAAGGACCTTCACCCCTGTAAACGCCAGGTATGTTATATATTTGCTTTGATCATTTTACGCGTTTTTCAAGCATAATAACCACTATTTTTGTTTCGTGCAAACGAAATGCCGCCTTATCTTTAATCTTGTAGTTTTGAAGATGGGTTTCATTGAGCGATAAAATTAGATTTGAAGTAGACTACGAAAAAGGTGTTCCTTGGAATTTAAAAATAACAAAAAATGAATTCTGACGCCTCGATAAAAGAGGAAATTATTTTCCATAGTTTGTCCTAATTTTTCCATTTCGCCAGATAAAAGGACGCTTTCGGGTATTATTTTAATCAAAGAAATAATACATCGTGGCAGATGGATAGCTTATCTTCGCAGCTGAAGTACTTTCCGCATAATGCCGTTTTTAATGTAAAATTTGAATACTTTAAAATGTGGCGCATTTTACACTTTGGATAGAAATTTAAGTAGCGTACGAAAAATTTTTTTTAGGTCTAAAGAGCAAGGAAACTTATAAGAGTCGATCAAAGTGTCCAAAACAATAACAAAATAACTTTGGCATAAAACTAAGAGATTAAATTAATAATTTACAGACAAGGTGACCGGATATAGCTTTAACACCTGAAGCCTGACCGAACTAACATGCTCTGTTTCAACCACCACTAAGAAACATCTGATCAATGGGAAATCCACATTGCACAAATCAAAACTAAAATACTGATCCTCTTACAGTTTAAACAGATATTTTCAGATTTAGTATTTTTGTTTTTCACTTAACTCAGTAGCCCAACAATATAGTAATTGTCTTCAGTTATGAATACATTAACATTTTTTTAAAAGTAATTTGAGGGGAAAAAGACATTGAAAGTTATCTTAAATTTTCCCATTCAATGATTAGTAAAATTAAAGATATTAAGACTTTTATCAGTCCAGAAAGGAAATTTTATCCACGAGGAAATTAATGATATTTATAAATAAACCAGTACATCGCCGGCCACGTCTTACTAACTGTGTGGGCTGTTCATGTGAAGACAAAAAAAATAATTAACAATTTCGGTATAATACATTTAAAACATAGTTTAACGATATTTCTGAATATTCGAGTGTTTACGAGAGAGATAAAGAACTTACTTAGATGAAAATATACCCTGCGGTCTTCTCCATTTTATAATCATAGAATATTCGCTTCAATTTCACGTTAAGCAAGATGTTGAACACCCTCAAAAAGGTCGGAAAAGCTAAACTGAAGGTAAATGAAGGAAATCTATCGCTCTCACACTGAGAAGAAATTTTGCGCATAATTAATTAAAGATAAATGCTCAATATTGTAGCCCGAGGATATTCTATTTAGAATAGACTGCTTGTAGTCTGCGGTATAAGATGGGGCTATATAATAAAATATTGCCAGCGAAATTTTTATGACCTTTACATCTAAAAAGCTGTCATTCGGTGCGAAAGGCTTTGATTGATTTTTATTCTATAAAAGAATCACTTTTACATTCCGGAATATACTCTTAATATACTCTTAAGCAATCCCTCTCTATTTCAGTTGCTTATCTTTATACCTATTTTTGCGAGTTGAAATTGCGTTATCAAATTTTTTTAATAAAAAAATTAATGATCAAAAATCTTTCATAACCTCAGCAGGAGTTATGGGAAAGTCATTTAATTTTTAAAACAATGTACATTTTAAAATGTAGCACATCAGAAAGTTACAGGCCTAAAATACAAAAAGACAAAAAATATATCTAAATTATATATGAAATAAAGATAGCAACTTGACAGACCCAATTCATTTTGACGAGCCAGCTGATCGTGAGTATGCATTGTACGGCAACTACCAGTCTTGCAGAGAGATAAGTAGCTTAAGGACACCGTCAATTGTCTGAGAAAAGTAATTATTAATTAAAATTGCATGATGTCAAAGGTTCATTTGACACTGGCTATCATTTCAAATCTAATTTACCCTGCGTAGGTGTATACGTATTTATGTTAACAAAACCAAAATGTTTACATAGGGAGACATATGATCTCAAAAAGTAAAGAAAAACATTGACTGCCTGAAATATGCGTAAAAAAGAATGAGCGACAGTTTGTTTCACTCATCAGTCAAGCTATTGTAGCAAGTCAAAAACAGTACACTATGTTGCCTTATGATCTGATTATTTTTCAGATACAGTATTCGCACACTTATTATATCAATGGATTGACAGGAGATTTTGAGTAAATAAAACATCAAATGTGGTGTAATTGAAACAAGGGCTAATGAAAAATGTTTCATGGTGGAGACTGTTTCCTAGCAAAAAGATTCATTGAAACTGTCTTGTTGATTTATTTAGATCGAAGGTTGTCTTATAAATTAAACAAGAGCCATGATGAATTTTGGTTGCTCTATTAATTACAGAGTTTTGATCTTGTCTTATATAAAGGGTACACTATGATATTAAATGATCCAGCCTGCCGCTCTACTTCACAACTTAAACTTTACTTCGTAAATAACAGCTGTAACCCAAATGAAAGGCAAAAAAATTGTCTTGAAAAATTAATGAAATGTGTGATTTGTATTTGATTTGTTGATGATCTGGACAGAGGAAGCTAGGTGTAAGTGCGCATCTCCATTTGGCAGATAGCTTTGACAGGACTCCCATGTATGTTAGGAGGAAAGCTGTGAGAAAGGCTGACACCCTTGGTAGACAACTCTGTATGGCACAAACCTCTATTATTTTTTTAAGAAGTCAACACTGTAGGGAAGCCATCCCTATTAGGCAGACATCCCTGTCATGCAGACACCTCTCTAAGGCAGAGACACCCTTGATGGGCATACACATATGTTAGGCATATACCCCTGTAATGTACACACCCATCTAAGGCAAACACCCTGTAAGGCAACCTTGGCAGACACTTTGTTAAGGTAGACACCCGGTTAGGCAGACACCTCTCTCAGGTAGAGATTCTTATAGGCAAATACCCCTGTTAAGCAAACACCCTTGTAAAGTACATCCTTTCCACAGCAGACACCTCTTTTAGGCAGTAGAAACTCCTGATGAGCAAACACACCTGTTAGGTATACACCCTTGTAAGGAATACACCTCTCTACAGCAAACACCCCCTGTGAGCTGGCAGACATCTCTCTAAGGTAGAAACTCCTGATGGGCAAACACTCCTTTTAGGCAAATGTCCCTGTAAGGTACACACATTTCACATTCGTCTAAGGCAGACACCCCTGTTAGACAGACACTCCTGTAAAGTAAACACCCCTGTAGGGCAGACAGTCCTAGAAGGTAGACACCTCTCTATGGCAGACACCCATGTTGGGCAGACATGCTGGTAGTGTACCCACCCCTTCACAGTAGATACCTCTCTAATACAGAGTCCCCTGCAGGGCAGGAACCTCTGAACGGTAAACATCTTTTAAGGCACCTCTCTAAGGTAGAAATCCCTGTTGCGCAAACACCGTGTTAAGCATACACCTATGTAAGGTGGGCACCCTGTTAGGCAGACACCCCTGTTAAACGTACACCTCTATAAGGTGGGCACCCTGTTAGGCAGACACCCCTGTAAGGTAGACAAGTATTTAAAGCACACAAACTTGTTAGTCAGATGGTAGGTAGACACACCTCTCTAAAGCAGACACCTCTGTAGACATCTCTGCTGGGCAGACACACCTGTTGGACAGATGCCTTACTAAGCAGACTCCTTGTCAGTCAGACACCTCTAAATGGTAGACATGCCTGTAGGGCAGACAGCCCTGCCGAGTAGACACCTCTTTAAGAAAGACACCCCTGTATGGTAGACACACCTGTAGAGCAGACAACTCTCATGGCAGACAAACTTGTAAGGGAGAAACACTTGTTAGGTAGACATGGACTTTGTAAACAGCAGATAATGCTGTTCATCAGAGTTTGAAAAGGTGCCCCGGATGTCCGTCTCACAGAGAGTGTGTGTTAGCGTAATTCTTCTGAATATCCATGTATTTTCTGACAATCAATCTGTTCCAATTGCAACAGGAACACCTGGGTGATCTCCTAGTATCTATGATGTACCAACCTACTAATAACAGAATTGTGGTGGTTGTTATGAAAGCCGCAAAATTAAAGAAAATGGACTTAATTGGATCTTGTGGTAAGATTTTAAGTCTCTGTTGCATGTCTTTAAAAATCTTATGAGTGTGACAGTTGTAACCCTTTCACTCCTACAGTCCAGAACAGAACTTGTTACCATAGTCCTAACTTTTGGGGCTGTAAACAAGCAGTTACGTTGCACCCATTTAAACGAAACCTCTTTTATAAGTCACTATGGTGCTATTTGGTTTTCTGAGAAAAAAATTATTTAGATCTGAGACATTCTTTGGAGTGAAAGGTAAACCTGAAGGATGCAGATGCCACACCATTCAAAATATTTAACAGGTTTTAATTTCTTGGGCTACAATGTGTTTTTTTACTGGTTATGTTTTACACCCTACACACATCCTGTCCTTCTATCCCAAGTACTCAGATATATTATTTTTTATCTGACTTTACCCACAAAAAAATTATGAAGCTGTTTAATCTCCACAAACATGACTTTATAAAATTGTTTGTTCAAATGTTAGATCCTTATGTGAAGATTTACTCCATGCATGGAGGAAAACGCTTAGACAAGAAGAAAACTACCATAAAGAGAAGAAATAAGGATCCAGTGTGGAATGAATCCTTTATTTTTCACGTCCCAGTCGACAAACTAAGAGACATTACATTCGTATTTACTGTAATGGACTATGACCGTGTCACACAAAATGAAATGATTGGTCAAGTTATTCTAGGGTACCGTACCACAGGAACCTCATTGCGGCACTGGACAGATATGATGGGCAACCCTAGGAAGCCTGTGGCACAGTGGCACAGACTACAACTTTACTGATGTTAATTAAAATGTGAAAATTGTAATTTTTCCAAGACTACTGCTATCTCATACTCTCAGTTATTAAAACAAGGTCTAAGAATAAACTTCTTACATCAAGATACCCATAGAACATGAATTTGTTTCACATGGTGATGAGTTATGTATGAGATACGGTGGTCTACTCCATTCTTATGCTGTAAATATGTCATCATGCTAATTTAATTATCGGAAAATGTAAATCTACCCTCTTCTTATAAAAGGTCAGCTGAGATTTCAGCTACTTGACCTAGGAGTCATGAATGTAATTAATCAACAGTTTTATCTATTTAATTACATTGAAATGGGGAGCCAAAGTGTACGCCCCACCTCCACTGCAAACAATACAATAAAAAATGGGTGGAATTTTCATCAAGACTGTTCTTTTGATTATCATACTTTTCACTTGACTATTGACTTGATATGACTTTTCTCGATTGACACATGACACAACAGTTTGTTTGGTGACAGCTAATCATTAAGATACCAGCTCCTGCAGCTGATAAGTTCAGTGAGTGGCGGGATTACCAAGAAAGGGGTTAGGGCGGGGAGAATTTATACTTCATTTTGGACAGAAAAGGTACCCCTTTCATAGGCCTTCTTAATGGTACCCCTTTCACATACCTAGTTCAGAACTTTGCATCCCTTTTCACTGCTGGAAATGCACTGTCTTCACAAAACCAGAGTGTTTTCGTAACTTTTTCACAGCCAAAAAATGCATCTCTTAGCCCTTTGCGGCCTTTTTACAGACTGAAATGACAGATTTCCCTTCCCTTTCATATACTTCCACTAGCGAAATCCCTAGCTACTGGCAGAGTACCGATGCACAGGGCATGGATTCCCATTAAAATTATGAAAAAAAGTCTAAATCTAGCAGTTACAATCCACAACTCACAAAAACCTTTTCTTTTCAAGTCTGTGGAACAATGTTGTTTGTGTTTACTCCCTGCCTTACTTCTAAGGTAAATGGGGAGAGCTATTGCCTAGTATTAAACTGAACAGGGTCTCAACACGAGACCCACATTGTCAGAAATAGCATATTAGGTTAGGAAAAATCTCAAGTTTGGTGTCAATCAGGCCAAGACTGAACAAGATACAGCTATTAAAAAACTTGAAAATTTATAAGAGATGAATATAAAGGACACACTGCCCAGACACTTATGTTTCTTATGAATGGCTTTATCTTGTTCAACATAGGCCCAATAAACACCAAACTTAAAAAATGTTTCTAACCTCAATGTACTCTTTCTGACTATGTCACTCGCGTGTTGTTTATCCCATAATGAACAAACTCAACCCAGCCCCTCTTGGTTTGAAATTAGGCAACACACATTACTTTGAAAGATACAAAATAATCTTTTAATAGACCTGTTCACCTTGTATTTTTTGTTTTCCCAATAGAGGTTCCGGGGAAATTTACCCTTTGTTTTTTTACAAATTATGCATAGATATGCACGTGAATAAGACAGAATTTGAACGAAACAGTACTTGAGAGTATTATCACATGACCTGTATAGGGAAAACAAAACATACAAGCTAAAGGGGTCTATTGGAAGAAACGTCAAAAGATCGTGAGCTTCTTAAAATAAAACACCAAATATGCAACAATTAACTATAAAAGGATTTACAGTGTAGATTGGAGGAGGTAAATGTGGACTATAAATGACAAACTCCAAGAGTTTTTCAAAATAAGAAAATAGTACTCAGCCCACCTTTCACTGAACAGTGCATTGATTTAAAGTAAAGAATTGGCAATGCAATTCGCCACTGTCACACACACAAAAAGAACAAAACTAGAATATTATGTTTCCGTTAGCACAGTGTAATTTTGCTCACAGATTTTTTTTCTGCATTTTCATTTTTTGATAAACTGATCATCAATAAGCTGGCGGGGGAGTAATCAAATCATTCTTAATTAGTTTAAGATGATCAATCACAAAACCTTACTCAATCCCTGATATTATTAAACTATACAAAGTACATCAAGAAAAAGTTCTGTATGTTTCCTAATATATTTTTCACAGTTCTCATGCTCTACAATATATTTATAAGATATAAACCACTGCAGCTGGTGACATAGACTTTGGTTTAATTTAACAAATAAATAATAATACCACCATTTACAAATTCATTGACAGTCCCAACAAAAACACAGGGTTACAATGCTGTCTCTACTATATGTTAACTGAAGTAGTGTTATATTGGCAATGTTATTCTTTTTCTTAAGTCTATTTTACTGAAGGTCTAAAAACCAAGCTTCTTTTCAAAACTTGAACCTGTCATTCCATTAGGTTCTTTACTTTTTGGTGCTACTTAGGACTAAATATTTGGTGCTCTATCAAATTTGGAATATTATGTTCAATACACTGAATTATGAATTTTGAAGTTGCTGACTGCAAAAATATGTATCTCATTCTTATGCCATTCTTGACCATTTTATTGCCTGGGATTGTTATTATTAGATTTATTTTTGCAAAAGGCAAAGTACAGTATAGCCCATAGAAAGGGAACACACATATTATTTTATGCATAATGTAACTGCATTGTGTATTTACAAAGTAAAAATTCCATTTTAAGGGCCACCATTAATAAAATTTACAGCTGTTTATAATAAACAAAAACATTGACTTTAAATCTAGAGGTTAACATTAATTTCCCTTGATGGTGGTGCTAATATTTTAGCACTCAATACTCCCAGATCATTCTCCTTAAATTTAGGAAAAATATGACCTAATCACTTTGTGGAGTCATTATTAATTTTGAAAAATAGAGTTTTCATTCCACGTAATGATTTCATGATTTGAATTAAAATTAAAATTAATCTCAAGTAATGAGCAGAATATGAATATGCTGACTGCTATGATAAGAGCATTTCAATTATTGAATTGCTGAAGCATGTGTATGTACACTGCAGTATATTGCTGTAGTCTTGGCAAGACAGCTTGTATGCTGTAGGAGCCAACAGTAACAGTTCTCAATATCTTCAGCACTTTACAACCTAAGATTTTTACTAGACAATAAACGACCACACAAGGGTTAAAGCAAATTCTGCCTTCTACAGCAAGCTAACACTGTTGCTGCCTTGCATTTTACTCTGTGGATCAAGACTCCATTTTTGAATACTGTACACTGTTATGAAATAGGCGGATACCTATCATAGGAGCCTCTGGAACCTTGGATTGTTGATCCATAAGATGAACCCATGCTTGACAGGGATTTGGAGCGGGAGGCAAAAGGTGGAATGAGGGGTCGGTCAGCAGCATCAACACCATCATGCAAATGCTTGTAGTGGAAACTGTTTCCTCTGGGGCGAAATTCTGATGTGAAGTGCTAAAACAAGTCAATAGTAAGAATTAGAATTTTGTAACTGACTGGTTGAAACTTGCAAACCTCTCATACTCTTAACAGAAACATGTCAAAGGAAGGTGCCATATCATTGTTACTTTACTGATATTTTTTTACTTCACAACAGTTTTCCAGTTTCCCAATATTAAATAATGAGGGTAACAGGATGTCTGTGGGGGAGGGCAAGAGACTAAACTCCCCATTTGTAAGACAGACAACCTAACAAAAACAGGAAAGAAATGTTACTGAGTAATAAATGTACAGAATGTCCTTGGAAATTCCCTAAGCAAGAGTAAGAGTGGAAGAAGTCTTTAAAATCCGTTTTCTTAAAGGATACTTCTGTGTGGTAAACCCTCCCACCCCTTCAACCCCTCCCCCCCCAAAAAAAGAAAAACCACCTTGTTGGGAGGTATAAATATCTTATAAAATCATCAACCTCATAATTTTATTTTTATGATATAATTGTTCTGCATATAGGGCAACCTCAGTCAGTTGTCAGGGGTGTCATTAAGAGGCGGGGGCCGGGGATTTCTCCCAGCTACTACGAACATGGCCCCCGGCTACTTTCATAGGAAAATAGAAGAAAAATAGAACCAACAGAAACTGCTAGCTGTTTGATTCCCCGCCTACTTGTTGTATTTACCCGGCAACTTGAAATCTTAGTGACAACCCTGGTCAGTTGTCATCCATTTTTAAAAAAGATTAAAGTTTTGTAAGATTTTTGACAGGTAATTAAACATGAGACCTTAGGTTTTGTTGCTCTGAACATAGGTATCCTGAAGATAAGACACAACTCAGTGGATAAGTGCTAAAAAAAGCCATTTATAGTGCACTATCTGTTAGACAAAGTTGGCATTGTGTTGCAACTCTAAATGATCTGTAAGTAAAGATGGTACGCTACCAAGTCCTACGGAATACATTGAATTAATTCTTATCATTTCATAAACAACCTTATAAGGAAAAAGCACTTTCATGTGAGATTTCTTAGAGCAACATAAAACAAAAAATAAAAAGGTGTACAACAAATTAGTAATTTATTGGTTTCTGTACATGCCAACCTCATCCCCAGAGCTTTTCCCTTAAAAAATGGGTGGGGTGGGAAAAGGCCCTGGCATCGGCTGGTTACGTGACGGTAAGTGTGTAGCGGCAAATTTTAGCATTTTTGAAAGATTTAAAATAAAACAGGGCCGCCAAAATGATGAATGTCTCAGTATGTATATAATAAACACAATACCACATGGAAAGTGCTTTGTACGGTATTTACGCACTCCTTGTTTTTGTAACAGAAATCTTACTCGTTCGCTGCGCTTACTCGTACGCCAGCACTTTCCATTAAGTATTCTCTATAAAACAAAACGTGTCACTATGATAAGGCTGAGTGTTAAGGTGAATAGAACTGGGCTGTGTACAGAGGCCCACTTCCCAAGAAATGAAATAAAATATCACCAAAGTCAAGAAAGCGGACTTTTTTTTTACAAATGTTACTCGCTGTCCCCTTCATAGGAATCAGAGGAAAGCAAAAAATTACCGTGACCAGTGTCTGTGACGAAAAGGAAATCTTATAAAACGTTTCGTTAATTGTCAAGATCCCAAGATCGCACGCTGTGAGGTTATGCATACCGGTAATTTTAGCTTTTCACATAGCACTAATTTATTACACCCAGGACTAGGATGTATGAGGGGGAAACGTGACCGGCCAATGCCAGGGCCTTTTCCTGCCCCACCCATTTTTTAAGGGAAAAGCCACGGGGACGAGGTTGTGTACATGTACCACAAGGCAGGAGAATTGCAACACCCCACAATGGCACGTGTATGTCTTATGCTCTAAATTTGACAAAAATAGAAAGTATTCAGGTGTCATTTAATAGTAGACATTAATATGAACAAAAATAATAGCTGCAGTGCCCACCCCTGAGTCATCTGTCACGGCAAATATAGGCGCCACATAATCAT